AACCCAAAGGTCAGTTCTTCAGGGGCTGGCTGCTGGGCCTCGGCAGCTCCCGACGCAACCTCGGGGAGTTCAAAGACTTTGGGCGCTTCGGCAAAGCGGACAGTCCGCACGGGAACGGATGGAGTGCTTTGGGGCAGGGCAGGGATGAACGGGGAGCTCGGAGCCGGGACAAGCACGTACGGCTGGCTTCGGGGCGGACCCAAAGGCTTTGGGGCGGATGACCGAGGCTTTGGAGCCGGTGCGCGCTTCTTTGGAGGGGGTCGGGGCTTCGGTCTGGCGGTGGGGCGGGTCTTTTTGGCCTCTGGGCGCGTGGTGCTCTTGGCCCGAAGCCTGGTGCTCCTTCGGGTGGCCTTCGGGGTGGTCTTTCAGGGCGGCATGGTGAATGGCTGGGGGGACTAAGTGGCGGATTTCCCTCACATTTTTGGGCCTCTTTATATGCTTTTTGTCTTGGTCTCTTTGGGGTGGCGGTCCCTCGGAGGTCCCTGCTGGAGTCCTTTGGGAAAGCTCCCGAAGGGTGGGGCCTCTCCCCGAAGCTTCGGGCTGTCGTGGGACTCCTCCATCTCTTCGGGCGTGCCTCGGGGCCCTCGGGAATCACGTGCCTTACCCGAGCCTGGCCCTGCAGCCGTGTCCCAACTCCTGCCGCCTCCCCGCGCTCCCGACATCCAAACTTTTCTGCCACGTGGCGCCCCGAACACCCCCCGACCGTTCAGGAGCCGCACCTCCCCCTCCCTGACCCTCCCCAAACCCTTCGGGGGGCCCCCCAAAGCAGGCCCCCCTTCTGATGGCGACAGAGCCCAAACCGGCAATGGTGACCCGCCCTCCCCTTGCACAGCCCACTCATCTGGGCCCATCTACAGCCTCCATGCATTGCAGGTCCTGGGTTATCGATACCCGCGGACGGATCATAGTAAAAGTTGCACTTTTCCGCACGTTTTCCTGAATTTCTCCGCAACCGCGCGCCCGATTCCCGGATAAATTTTTTTTACATGCGGGATTTGGAAAGACCTTTCCAACGGTACCAAGACATCCCCATAACTCACAAAGGAAGCCCTATGTAACCCAGGGTTAGGGTTACAAGGGCTCCCCAGATTTGTTTTGTGTATCACAACAGTGGTTAGGGCAAAGGTGCTAGCAGATGGGAGGATTCCTACCTCCCAACCTGCACAGGGAGATGCCAGGAGGTTGGTGGTGTAGGGCCTTCAGGCACCTGTGTATTGCTTGGGATGGTCTGCTTGCTTGGTTGTGCAAAAGTGGGGTCTGGCTGCTGCTGAACAACCAGCAGAGGCTGGCAGGCATCTGCCATACGTAGGGCTTGTGTCAAGGTTCTCACAGATCCAGTGTGTGCAGCAGCAAGGCAGAGAATCCCAAAATTAACCGGTCAGGATGAATAAGGACAGGGCAGGGGCCAGGGGCAGGGGCGGGGCAGAATACAGCGTTACGTTACGGGCATGGCGCGCGCGGAATGGGGACGGGGAAGGCGAGGCCAGGCTCGTCTCGATCCTTCCTTCCTTCCCTCGTCCTTTCGGTGCCTTGTCAATTCTTCGGTCTCCTCCTCGTTCCTCCGCAGTTTCCAGCTTCGTCGTCGTTCTCTCCGCGAGCGGCCTCACGCCCGTCTCCGCTTGGGCGCACTCCTGCTGCCCTTCCTCGTCATTCCAGCCGTTGCCGCCGCCGTCTCGTCGTCGCCCTCCTGCTGTCCGTCGCCGGTGGCTGCTGCCGGCTCGTCGGCCGCTGGGGCCGACCGCTTTGTTCCGTTCTTTGGTGGTGCCGATGTCGCCGTGGTCGATGCCTTGGCGGTGGCGGCGCGTCCGAGGCCCTCGACGACGCAGCGCGGACAGTGCCACTCGCCCTCGGGCACCTCGGAGAGGCGCGGGTCGAGGCACTGGAGGTGCCACGGGTTCTCGCACTTTTCGCACTCGAGGAGCGCGTTTTCGTCGCTGCTGGCGTCGCTGTTGCACACGACGCAGGCGTCCGACGACGGCACCACCTCGGGGAAGCGCGCCAGCTCGGCGTACGTCGGCCCCAGGTTGCGTGCAATGTCTGCGGTCCGCAGGGCAAGGGTGACAGGGAACAAAGAGGGGCAGGAAGGCAAGGATGTCGGTCCTCAGTCAGCGGCGTGGTCGGGTCTACGTGGCAGAGGCAAGCCGAGGGGACGGCTCACAATAGGTCGTGCTCTGGCCGGCGCCAATGTCGAGGATCGAGAGGCCGTCGAGCGTCTCGCAGCGCATGGGCTTGACGGCGCTCCTTGGCTTGCCCTCGCCCAGGCCGAGCTCGCCGTGGTGGGCATTCTGGCCCCAGCAGACGTTCATGGTGGCGTCGTGGTCGCCGCGCACGCTCGGGTCCTCGTCGGCGGTGCAAAAGAGGGTGACGCCGCCGAGGCCGGCGTTGCGGATCTTGCAGCCCATGAGGTCCGGCAGGTACTTGAACGTCATAAAGCCCTGGCCCGCCGAGCCCTCGCCCGAGTTTTTCCACTTGCCCGCGAGCCAAAACATCCGCTGGCCATCGATGACGGCGCTGTTGGTGGGCCCGGCGTAGATGTGCGTGGCGCGGGTGAGGGTGTTTTCGCGCGCAAACTGGGGCACCAGGGTGGGTGCCAGCTGGTCCTGCTGGGTGCCGAGGCCGAGGCGGCCGTAGCCGCCAAAGCCCCACGTATAGACGTAGCCGTTGTCGTCCCTTGCGATGGTGTGCTGCTGGCCGCAGTGGAGCTCGAGGATCTTTTTGTCGGCGAGCGCCTTGACAAGGAAGGGCTCGTCGAACGTGTCAAAGGCGAGCTTGGTGCCGCTGATGAAGTGCTCGCCGGTGCGGCCGTTGCCGAGCTGGCCCTTTTCCGACGAGCCCATGGCGTAGACCTTGCCCGAGGCGGTGAGGAGCATGCTAAAGGTGACGCCGCACGAGGCGGCGACGACGGGGTCCTTTTCGCGGATAAAGGGGGCGGTCTCGATCTTCTGGAAGCCCTCGACGATGTTCTGGAGGGGCAGGCCGCACTGTCCGCTCGAGTTGAGGCCGGTGGCGTAGACGCTACCGGCTGCGGTGACGAGGATCGTGTGGCTGCGTCCCGTGGCGGCGTAGACGATGTCCCCCTTTTGGTCGGCGGGGAGGGGCGGTGCAAAGTGGGTGGCGCGTCCGAGCTTGACAGTGTCCCAGATGGCGGGGCCGCTGGGCTGGTTGGGCAGGTTCTTGGTCGAGAGGCCGCACTGGCCCTGCTCGTTTCTGCCGATGATGTAGGCGTCGCCGTCGACCGAGACGAGGACGGCGTGGCAGGACGAGTGCGAGGTGTGAACGCGCGACATGCGCACGTTGCTGACGGAGCGGAGGATGTGGGGGCCCTGCAGGTCGGGCCTGGGCGGGGCGGGCGAGTGGCGAGGGGCGAGAGGCGAGTGGCGAGTGGCGAGTGGCGAGGGGCGAGGGCGGGGGGCGAGGAGCGAGGGGCGAGTGGCGAGGGGCGAGGAGCGAGTGGCGAGGGGCAAGGGGCGAGGGGCGAGGAGCGAGGAGCGAGGGGCGAGGAGCGAGGAGCGAGTGGCGAGGGGCGAGGAGCGTGTGACGAGGTGCGAGTGGCGAGTAAATGCGACGCGGGAGGTAGATAGATGGGTAGGCAGGTAGGCAAGGGTGACGATGCGAGGCCGAGAGGGGGCGCGACAGGGAATATAGATGGGCAGGCGGGTAGGCAAGGGCGACGATGCGACGCGGTGGTCAGGATGGGGTTAGGAAGAGAGAGGCAGCGGGTGGCCTGAGGCCGTGGCAAAGGTGCGCTGCTCACTGTTCCGGGTTGACGGTCTGTGGGGGGCCAGACTTGCTCGCCTTGCGTCCGAGGTTGGGCCAGTCGGTGCCGCCGGCTATGAGGACTGGGAGAGCGGGGGGCGCGTGCAGGGAGTGAGCGGAAGGGGGACGAGGCAGGCGAGGGCGGGCAGAGCCGATGAAAGGGTCAGCGAAGGGGCGAGGGGCGCGCAAGGTGGTGTGAGGGCGAGTGGACGGTGGTGAGCGACGACTCACCTCTGCCCCATTGCGGGAGGTCGGAGGCGGCCGAGGTGGAAGCTTGGTTGGCGGCCGTCATGGTGAGGCGAGGATGTGAGGCGAGGATGTGAGGCGAGGATGTGAGGCGAGGATGGGGGTCCGCGCAGGAGGACGACGAGGGACGCGTTGCCGTCTTTGTTTCAGGACGCGGTACGCGTGGCTGGCGGTAAACAAGGAGGTGTGTGCGGCGCAGAAGCAAGTGATGGGCCCGTGTAGGATGGCGTGTAGGTACAAGAGGTGCTGGTATCGCTCCGGTGGATTGACGAAAGCTGGCGGATGAGGCGTGGATCCAGGTAGCCGCGGCGGGCGTGGTCTTAGCAGGCGCGATAGGATGTTGGTGAGGTGTTGGAAATGTGGGGCCGTCAAAAGCGGCGAGGAGGAGGAATCGAGGGATAGAGCGAGGATCACGAGGATTAGGAGAGGACGGGGAGGACGAGGAGGACGGGGAGGACGGGGAGGACGAGGAGGACGGGGAGGACGAGGAGGACGGGGAGGACGGGGAGGACGAGGAGGACGGGGAGGACGGGGAGGACGAGGAAGGCAGGGTCGACAAAGGCCGCTGTCGAAGTTGGATCGCGACCACCGACCGACCGACGGGCAGGCGACAGGCCAAAAGCGCGCCGCGTCGAAATTGGAAGCCCCACGGGCAGGCCTCGTCGGGCGGGCGACAGGCGGGCGACAGGCGTGGGCAGGCAGGGCAGGGCCAGGCCAGGCCAGGGTTGCCTGCCTGCCTCAAGGCTGGCCGCCGCTAATTGTCGTGCGATCCACGGGTCGCCCCGTCGTTGGCCCACGAGACAGCCGCCTTGCATGGCCACAGTCTGCCGTCTGCCGTGTCTGGGCTTGCGATCGCTCGACCTGCTCGATGGAGCCACGGCCTGCGACGGCGTGGTTGGGCGCGCGGTAGGAGGTGTTGGGTGGGCTGCACGACGCGCTTGCAAGCGAGAGCGGACAGGCGAGGATGGGCGGGTGGCGGCCCTTTGTCGGGCGAGAGAGAGGTTCGACTGGCGCGCAGGGAGCGAGCCAGGCGGGTGGAACGTCGTCTGTGGCTGCGCCGTTTGCTGCGCCCCGACGCTGGCATTCGCCTCCACACCGCCCACCATCGCCACACTCTCGACTGACGCCTCGCATCACGACCATCGTTGCCCGTCCCTTTTCTACCACCATCACCACCGCCATCGCTTTCACGAACCCGGATCGCAGCAGCCCTCGCCCGCCCCATCTCCTTGCAACTTCGCATCCAACATAGACACTACTCGCGCAATGGACGTCGAGATGCGAGACGCTCCCCGCAGGTCGTCGAGGAGGGGCGCAGGCGCAAAGGCTGCCCAAAACGCTCCCCGTCGCAGCGACCCTTACGCCAGGGACGCAAAACAGGTGAGCCCGGCGTGCAAGCGGTAGCAGCAGCAGCGACAGCACCGTCGCTTCATCCTCCCCTTTCGAGCCGCTTCGCTCACCCCATCCTTGCTCGTCCCTTTCTTTCCCCTGCCAGCGCCCCGCCGCCAGGGCCAGGTACGACCAGGAGCTGCTCGACCCGCAAGAACCGGCCCAGTACGCCACCACCGGCATGTCCTACCCGCCTCCCCAGCTCAACATCAAAGGATCCAGCGGTCCCACCTGGGTCGTCGTCTCCAACCTCGCCATCGGAACCTCGGCAGAGGACATCGAGGTGAGGCCCGCGCGCCATCGTCCCTGGCCATGGCCTCGGCCCCTTGGCACGACCCGGCGACGCACACGCCACTGACGCCCATCTCGCCCGCAACCCGTAACTCACCTGCCCCTCTCCTCTGCCACCGCCATCGCAGCTCACCTTTGGCTCCTTTGGACGCGTCACCGACGTAAAGGTGAGTGGGCCCGACCTCGGCCTTGACCGCGGCCACGCTCGGCCCGTAGAGCTAGCATTTCCGCAACCGCCGCACCTCGGAGATGCTGACTCACGCTCGCCTGCCTCTTCATCGCCGCTGCCGCCATCACCACCACCGTCCCCCGTCTCTAGACCCGCAACCCGCCCGGTGCCAACCACCCCTCGGTGTCGTACGAGGTCGCCTTTGAGCACCGCCACGAGGCCGACCTCGCCGTCGAAAAGTTCCACGGCGCCCTCGCAGACGGTCGCGTCCTCTCCGTCTCGATCAAGAAGCCCGACCCGCCCCGCGACCCTTACAGCCAGTTTTCCCGCGCCGCCGCACAGGCCATCGCACAGAGGCCACGCGAGCGCGCCCCAAACATGATCCCCGTGCCCCAGCCCGCCCCCGCCCCCATCCCCGCCGCCGTCCCTACCGGGCCTGCGGCCATGAGGTCAAAG